GTGAACACCACCATTTTTCATCAAGTCGTTAGATCTTGAAGCTACTTTGCAAGTCAACCCATTGTTAAGTAAAACAGCAATGCTTGTGCTGCAATATTGGCTGTGACTTGGTATGAATAAAGAAAGAATGCAGTACACATTGTTGAATTACTCATATCTAACTCATTATACTGGACGCATCATCTCCCACATGAAAGGCAACATTAATGTCAAAGTATCCAGCATTAAAAGCGAGGCTTGAGCTTGTAATCTAGGATCAATCACATTCTAACTAATCCTGTAGTTGACTTCAAAAAGGTAAAGGGTTTAATAAGATGTTACAAGATTCAAGACGTGAACTAAGTTGGATGTTACACAGTTGTAGGAAAGCAGTCCCCAAAATTATGGGAAATGTGACATAAGAAGATAACTTCTAGCACATAAAAGGAAAAAGGAAATCACAAAACAATGGGATCCTACATAAGCCTAACAAGATTATCCTATATCCTCTACACAAGCAATAGGGAACATTAAAAAAGAATGGGAAAATAGAAAAATCAAAGGCTAAACTGAATTTAAAGCACACTGAAAGCATCAATTGTAACATAAAAAAGAAAGAGGGATAAGTGAACTGCAAAAATGAAATCAAAGTAAAATAATAACACAAAGCTGTAGAAATCTATATAATATGGAAAGAAAATTGAAAAATTTGCAGAATAAATGATGGAAATTAGTCAATCTTTAATTCAACCAATACATATTAATCAAGAGAAGGGAGCAATGGGAAATAATCATTTAATTCCAAGGTAGCTAACATCATAGATAGCAAAGAAATATACTAATATATCATCAAAACGTATAATTTTTGCTCAAGTAAAATGAATTGTAGAGATAGCTTGAAATATCAATTTTGATTCCTTGTCTTAAACAATAACAACAACAAAGCAAATTGGCTTCACAATAAAATTTTAAAGAGGTAATTTGGATACTTACAAGGTAAGTTATGCTTTCCCAAATAAAAACCTTGTAAAACTACAGCTTCATTTAGTCAGATTACAAGCTTATATAATTCAACAAAGGCTATTTGTGTTTCATTTCCAGCTCACAGAAAAATCTCATTTGAACATTAGCACCTGCTTGTTTCAAAAGTCTTCCCGACTTCAGAATGGAGAACATAAGGTCTTGCAATATTGAATTTAAAATTCAAATTGGTTGGCTTGCCTACGAACATCATTTTTCAAGCTCATTGGTGGTTGTGAATTCTCGTGATGCTAAGGCCAATGACTCGTCCCCTTTGAAATAATCTGAAAGCGTAAGCCATTTTTGAGGCAAGTGAATGCATGCATGTTCTCAAAGGAAAATAATTTTAAGGTAGGTGGATAATAAATAGTATATACAGTTGATAAA